AGTTCTGTTCTTCTTTTGCAAGATGGTTTTGGCTCCTCAGGACCCACTGAGATTTTATATAAATTATAGGATTGGGGTTTTGACAGGGATTGCACTTATCTGTAGATCTCTTTGGGTGGTACTGACATGTTAACAATATTATGTCTTCCATTACATGAACATGGGATGTGTTTCCATTTATTTGTCTTCTTTAATTTCTTTCAGCAATGTTTTGTAGTTTTATAGTATAAGTGTTTCACGGCGCACTGCTTTGTCTGCAGCCCTATGGTCAGAAGGAGCAATCAGTGATCAGAGTGCAGATCCCTGGTATTTGGAAAACTAGGTCTTTTTGCCCACACTGCCTAGCATAAACTGTGTGCAAGCTGCTCCAGGAACACGTGCACAGCTGCCTGCCACACAGCTGGGGGTGAGGGATGGGTAGCTGCTACTGTACTGAGAGCTAAAACTGACCAAACCTAAACACAATTACCATCCAAGCCCTCCCCTAGAAGTTACAAGCCTTCAAGAGTCTCAAAATCATTACATCAGACAAGTTCTGCCAATACAACTGCTGTCTAGGTGGGGAGACAGATCTGTGGTGCTTCCTGCTGGCCCATCTTCCCAGAACTCTCTCTGTTTCATTAATTTTAAAACCAGTACTTTATGGCTGGACATATAGGTTATTTCCAGTTTTTCCATATTATAAACAATGTTGCAGTAAACATCCTTTATGTAAATACATCTTTGTGTGTAGTCCAATTGTATCCTTAGGACAGCAGTCCTCAACGCCAGCTGCACATTAGAATCACCTGCAGAGCTTTTAAAGCCCATGCTCCACCCTAGACCAAAAAAATCAGATAATTTGGAGGTGGGGCCTGAGCATAGCACCTTTAAAAAAACTCCTCCAGTAGTTCTGGTGTGCAGACAGGGTGGAAAAGCAACTGCTTTAGGAGGAAGTCTTCTGTGTCCTCTCTATTCAGAGTGTGGTAGTTGAACCCAGAGCACCAGCAGCACCTGGGAGCTGACTGAAAATGCAGAAGCCGGGGCCCCACCCCAGACCTCCTAAGTCAGAATCAGTTTTAAAAAAATCTCCAGGTGATTCATATGCACAATGAAATCTGTTATGAACAACTGGTCTAAATGGAATTTCTGGGTCAACAAATGCTAACATTTAAAATACGTACTGACAAATATCCCTCTAGAATAGCGGTGCCAGTTTCTACCGCTAACACAGCAAATGAAGATTTCTGCTTCCCCACACTCTCACCAGCCTTGAGTATTGGAATCCATGTTTTTCCTCTTTAGGACCCATTAAGTCCCAAACAGTATCTTGTTTTAATTTGCATTTCTTTGATTACCAGTGAAATGGAACATCTTTTAATATACTAATTGGCCATCTGTATTGCTTCTTTTGTGAACTGTTCTTTGACCATATTCCTTTTAAGGCGTATGTCTTTTCCTCACCGGTTATTAGAACATTTAGTATACACTAGGGACATAAACCTTGTGTTTATCTAACAGACTGCAATTATTTCCACCCAGTCTGTTGACTTTATCCTTGTTCAGGCATTTGTAGTAAAGCAGTTCTACATTTTTATATACTAAAATCCATCCATCTCTTCTCACTTTGAAGTTATAGCTTAGAAAAGCTTTCTCTACTCCAAGATTATAAAACAGCCACCTATATTTTCTTACCTTTTATGTATTTATTTTTTAATTTTTGATTCACCTTTTTTTTTCTGGTACAAGGACTCAGCTTTTGTGTTTTTCCAACTATCCCAACACAATTTGTTAAATAATCTAATTTGACATATGTTACCTCATATTCTAAATTCCCAAACTTTATGCCTTGGTATCACCATTTTTAGACTATTATGTTCTATAAATCTTTCCAGTCCCAAGCCAACACCACACTGTTAATCATTGCAGCTTTATACTCTGCCTGAACAGCGAGGCAGCCAGGTGGCGAGAAGTAGCATGCTGGCAGGGAGAGCAGCATGTACGGTGATGTGTCTAGAAGAGCTGAGACAAGCTCAGTATTCCTAAAACCCATGAGCAGATATCTGAGCAGGATAATGAAATGATGACTTCTGTATCATCAAAAAGATCATTGTGGAGAAAAAAAAATTAGACAGGAGCAAGAATATCAAAGAAATTCTTTAAAAAGGTAAATCAGTTTCACCCTACTCTCTGCCCCTTTGCTTAGCACCACCCACTGGATTCCCACTTTTTAGCTTTCTATCACCCTCCCCACAACTTAACTTTGTTCAAACACCCTGGCCTTTTGCTGCTGCAGCGTGGTGCTTCCCATGGGGCCTTTGCACTTGCTTTTTTCCTTGCTAGAATGCTCATTGCCCAGAGTCACAAAAACTGGCTCCTTTTCTTCATTCCAGTCAAAGCTAAAGGTCACTTCTTCAGAGCAGCCTTCCCTTGAATATCCTGTCTAATGTTAAGTACCCCCTCCTCTGTGCAATCATTATCACTTTAACTGATTTTTCTCCACAACACTTACCACTACTAATATTATCTCTTTATTCATTTGATGACTGGAGACTCAAGGAGAGTAGGATTTCTGCTTTGTTCACTATTTCACCAGCACTGGAGGTGCTGCCTGGCACAGGGGAGTCTTTCAAAAAATATTTGTTGAATGTGAGACTGGATGCAAGAGGCCACTCAAGGAGGCTGTTACAATGGCCCAAGTGAGAGCTACTAGATGCTGGATGAGGGTAGTGGCAGCAGAGATACAGAGAAGTGGGTCTAAGGGACGTATGTTTTGGAGGTTGAAACAAGTCTTAGTGATTGACATTTTGATGTGAGGAATAAAGAAGAGGAGTCAAGGATGGCTCCTGGGTTTCTGATATGAGTGGCTCAGTGGATAGCAATACCATCAGTTGAAAGGGGAATTCTGGAGATGGAGGAGGTTTGTGATTAAGACCATGGGTTCAGTTTTGGGTTATTATTGTTGAAGCTCAAGATCCACTAGAAGGCAAACTTCTGCCATCTTGGTTCTACCCAGTTTGTGCTATCCTCATATTGTGTCATTCCTTCAATGTTTGTGCCCTGACCCCTTCCCTCCTGTCTCATTATCAGTAAGACACATGAAAGAAACCCTAGTGGAGACACTGACAATATGGGTAGATATGTGAGCTCAGAGAAGTCTGGTCCTAGACCACAATACAAATCTGGAAGCTGTCAGCATGCAGAGGCTAAGTGAAGCAATGTGGTGGGGGTGTGTGTGCAAATTCTCTTAAGAGAAAAGCCTGGAGTAAGAAAAGGTAGAGGCAGAGCCCCAGAGGAGGTTGAGATGGAGTAGCCAGAGAGACGGAAGGAAAACCAGACTGTCACATCAGGGAGCCCAGGGAATAATAGTCTGAGAGAGCAAACTGGGTCAAGAGGCAGGAAGAGTGTCCCTGGGATTTAGGAACATGGAAGTCATCAGTAACCTCAGGACTGCTAGGGAATGGAAGGAGCAGAATTCAGATTATAGTGGGGTGAAGAGTGACTGGAGGTGAGGCGCTGAAGACAGCAGGTGTAGACAACTCTTCTAAGAACTCCAACCGCAGTGCGAGAAAAGAGGTGGGACAGTGGCCGGAAAGGGACGCGGGATCCAGGGGATACTTTTAAAGACGGGAAAAATTCCACTGTGTCAAGTGATCCAAAGAAGCTAATAAGGAAGGGGCTAAAGCTACTGACAAGGGAGAGGGTAACCTGAGGGTAACTCTGAACAGACAGCAGATGAGGCTGGCCTTGGACAGGAAGAGAGACACCTCCTTCAGTGTCACAGGGAGGAAAGCAGAGAGAGGGCCACCCCGAGTTTAGGGTGGACTGCTGTACCCGCAGCTGTTCTAGTCACAGAGACAGATGCCGTCTTGCTAGTAGTTTTGGTGGTGGGAAGCCAAGCCAGTTCCCATCTGATGGCTTCTATTTTCTCTGCAAAGTTGGAATTACATCATCTGTTGAAAGCTGGTAAGAAACGAAGAATAAAAGTTTGAACTAAGAGCTGCTGAGGGTAGGAAAAGCAGCATGCTTTACATACCAAGTATATAAAGTACCTGGCACAGAATAGGTGCTCCATAACCCATGTTTATTGTTATTTATTAGAATATATTATAATGTTTATTATTATTACTGTTGTTAACATCGGCCAATATTACGTAGTCACTGACCAGAGAGAAGAGTCTACTCTGTAGACAAAAGGAGTACAAAGCACATCAGTGCGAGTTTGTGTAGAACCTGTAGCCTTGACTCATATCATATCATGATATCATAACTCGCCATTTATCATGACATGTCTGCCATTAGTCCTTACATTTTTAGATATGTTGGTTTTGTCTCACCAAATAAAGGTTTTGACAGAAGGACTGCATGTTAGTAAGTCTCGGTACCCCTCCAAGCTTCTTGCACGTGGAATTATTTGTAACCTGTCATAGTTTGCCTCTGGACAATTGCAAGCAACTGTTTCCTTGCTTTACAATGGTCAGATAAACTTGTAACTTCCTGTTTTATTTGTGCAGGGTAAGATTCGGGGGAGCTAAGAACTACATGAATATGACTTCCACAACAGGAACTATTCAGTTTTCACAAACAGAAGACCAACTACTTACTTACTGATAAAATGTCAGCTGGCTAGCACTGCACAAGAGGCTAAATTAGAGAAAATGTTGGGATCTTCCTTACCACAGTTTCATTCTTCTGAGACACTAAGGATGTGGGATGCACAAACTGAAATATTCAGAGATGATGTTTGTTGACCTTAAAGAGTTCAGAATATCTTGGGCTTTTAAGCCTACCAGTACCGTCCTCATGTAAGCCCATTGTAGCTGGAACGGAATATGGCAATCCCAGCAAAGAGGGCCGTATTTCTGTTATAAAACATGGATTACTGGTGCCTGTTGATATGACGGGGGTAGCAGTAGCTGACTACTTGTCAAACTGTGTAACAGAAATTGAAACCTCTTTGAGTGGTGGTTTCTCTCCCAATAACCATAACACAGAAATGTATCTTACAGCTGAAACCTAACTGGTATTAAAAGGAAACATTTTATTATATAACAAGAGTGAAAGTTTTTTAAATCTATGTCAAAAAAACTGAACGCCATTCTGGGCACAGTAAGACAGTTTTACAATCGAAACGACCTTTTACTTTTCAGAAGTCTGACTGAAAACAAATGGCTGAAAGTGCTGCAAACAAACTAGTCATTCTGCCTCCTGTGGCAGCTGAACAGAGCATGCGCTACAGAAGCCCTGTGGACAAGGGAAGCAGACAGCTCATGAGCAGGACGCTCAGACTCAGGCCAGGAGTCCACCTGTGGTCCACTTCCCGTCAGTCGGACAGGTCACTCTGATCCAACACGATTATCCTGAACAAAAAAAGGCAGTTTTGAGTTGGTGTATAGTTCTTTAAGGACACAAATAACAACCTCGTTCTATTCTAATGAATTCGAGGGAAAGAAATTTTGATCTTTATAATCAAGAGAGATTATGATAAACAAGCGTATCGTGGAAACGCAAAATGACTGCAAAGCAACTGACAGCAGCATCTTCCGTGGCCCTCCGTCTAAAACCGTCCTTGTGCCAACTACCAGTTACTTACTCAAAGTTGGCGTTAACTTCACCTTACATTTTAATTAACTATAAGCATTAGCATTTAAAAAGTTGAGCGACTTTGAATTCAAGTCTTAGTCACTAATGTTTATTTAGATACTGGTAAAAGTTTAAAGTCTGCTCATGTTGTCTATGAACAGTGAACTTTGACTTACAAACATCTGGTGTCTTATTACCTGGATGGTTCAGACCAACCCAGACGCTTCCAAAAACAGGGTTTTTTTAGTTCCTCTTGATGAAATATAGGAGGAAGAAAAAACAACTTCATTACTTTCTAGATCAAAGGTCCAATATTCAGAAGTCACCTTATTACTCTCTAGGGTGGACTGTTTTACCTCTAGCAATAGTTTTCTTCTACAGAGATAGAATCTTTCTAAAAACACAGTGACTGGGGTCCCACTTCTAACATCCTGCAGCGCCCTGTCGTAGCAACAGACACTAATGATGCTAATCTCACAAAGTCCCTGAATTATGTTCTCAGTAAATTCAATACTAGCTAAATGCTCACACGCTCTGAGTTCTGTGCCAGTCAGGGTCCTGGAGGAAACAGAAATGCACCCTCAGGCCTTTTAATGAAGTGACTACTTACAGAGGTGTAGTCAGAGTTAAGGGAGCAAACGGGGGATAGCAAGGCATCATTACTAGCAGCAATGGGAAGCCAGTATCATCCCGAAGTCTGAAGGGACTAGGGGGGCAGAGGTGGGGCAGGACAGTTACTGGAACCCAGTGAGAGCTAGAACTGGGAAGGATGGCCTTTCCTGTGGAGGGGCCCCGTGTCTGTGGAGGGGCCCCACTTCTATGCAGAGACAAGGTGCTGAGGGAGGCAGGCAGGGCAAGTAATACCCCAACTGCTCTCCTGCCCTCTGATCTTCTGCTGGGGCCTCCCACTGGCCAACAGGAAGCCAGCTGGCCGGGAAGCCCAGAAGATGCAGTTCTCAAGGGTCAGCATCCTGGGGGTACAAAGCAGGGCAGAAAAAGGAGAATGGGAATGGACTGGGGGAGGGATGACACGGATACCAGATGATCTCAAAGAGTTAACGTTTCTAACTTCCTGAGTAGGAGGAACTTAAATATGGGAGGGCATCATTTGTGAACGGTGCCTTAAAATTAAAGCTCTATCAAAATCGTTCTGAAATTAAGGTTAATTTATACCTTTCACATTAGTTATAGATTCCCCTTATTCCACTATTTATGGTTTCTTATTGGATTCTGAAGTCTCTGTGTGAGCTAAATTTAGAACTCTTTTGAAGACACGTTAGAAGCAAAACATCTTTGCAGACAATATACAAGATAGGGGTGATGAGACTAGCTGAAGGCTTGCTTTAGGAATAGAATTGGATGTTGTTACTATTCTGTGATGAAGATATAATTGGCAATTAACAGAAAACCTGGGCTGAACTACAGGGGAAAAATGTAGGAGGATTATGTATAGCATCTGGAAAACATTTCTAAACAACTCTGATGCTCAGTGAAGTGAAGCCCAAGGACTCCAAGCTACATTGTCAGTGATCATTCATTCATACCTTCTTCAGAAGTCCCTAAAAAGCTCTCTGATGTCCTTCTCGCTGGCTTGATGCTTTCTTCCCCTTTTCTCTTTTCTTCGCCAACTTCTTTATCCGTGGTATTTGTCTCCCTTCAACGACAATGATTTTGGTCATTAAACCATTTGTACAACAGCACCGCTCGTCACTAACATAATCACAGGCTCTAGAACTGGAGGAGGCCTTCAGGTTACCTCCTCCCTCTGTCCAAATGCCCTGCACCAGACAGTCATCCAGTGCACACCTGGTGGGAGGAGCTGCTGCTAAAGTAAGTGTAAAGGCGGCTGTTTTCTCTATCAGATCGCTATGGCTGTTAGAAAGACTGTGCTTCACTGAATAAAAACCTCTCGCTCTGCAGTTTCTAGTCACAAGCTCTGCCCTTTGGGGCAGAAGGGAGTAAGCTGACTCTCTGGACTTCACAGTATTTCAGGTATTTGGGGCAGCTATCAAATTCTCTGCTCCATCTGCTCTTCTCAGACTGAGCCTCCCCAGCTCCTTCAGCTGTTCTCATATGACAAGGTTTCCAGACTTCTGACTGTCCTGTGGCCACCCTCTTCTGTTTGTAACTGTCCCTTTTAAAATGTGACACCCCAAAAGGAGCCCCACGATGAGTCCTAGGAGTCCTCGTTTAACCGTTAACCTCGATCTGGACAGTTCATTTCTGCCTGCTCAGCATTAGTGCTGCACTGACCATCTTGGCAACTGCATCAAACTGAGGTCTCATGGGGTCGCTGTCCATGCCTTCTTCAATAATTTCCTGAATTCTTACTATGTCTCAAAATGCATGCTAAATGCTGGGCATATAAAAATAAGACATACTTCCTATCTTCAATGAAACTACAGTGAGTAGGAGCTTCTGATCAAAAAATTGTCTACTAGGTTAGAACTCTCACATTCTATACTTCTGGATTTAAATGCTCACCTTTTTTAGAGAAATCTAACATTTCCACCTGTCAAGACCATTTTGAATCCATAGTCTATCACCCATCACATTAGCATTCATCCTTAGATTTGTGTTACTGAAAACTTTGATAGGCATGCCTTTTCTGATTTAACTCAAATGACCAATGAAAATGTTGAAGGTGATAGAGCCAAGATACAGCGCTCTTAAGAGGCCTCTCTCTATACTGATATCAATCTGCTAATCAGTATCTTGAGCACTGTGGGTGGTTGGAGGAAGAGGGGCAGACAGGCATCGGGGCTGGCTTATCTATAGCAATGTAATGCCATCACCAAACATTCATTCTCCAAGGAGTCGATGTACTACTTCCTAAGAAACTAAAGTCTGGTCTCCCTTCCCGAAAAAGAAGAAAATGACCCCCGATGGAGAATAACCACCTTGCCGAGCCCGTGGGGAGATCCTGCAGCTCCGTGACGTCCTCAGGTGGCAGCAGCCATCTCTCCAGGTCCTCATCCAGAGTAGAGTGAGCTCTGTCCAAGGGCAAGTGCAGAGAACTGAGACAGCAGTCACTTCCCCCTCCCTTGATAAGGAGGCACAGCACTCTAGAGTGGGAAGGGACCTCCAAACTTGCGCCTTCACTATACGTATGAGAAAACGAGAGGTCGGTGAGACTGTACCTGGAGTTGTAGACATCACTCAGATCTGATTTAAATGTGCGCCAAACCCCTCCTTTTAGCCTCTTGACAAAAAGCCTCAGCACCCACGATATCACTGCCTCCTAAAGTCTGATGCTAGACTCTGTCTCAATTCTAGGGCATTACATCAGCTTCCACCTGAGGCTGCAACTGTCCACTCATTCCCACAGTTTTTCAGATTAAAAACTGCCTCTGAGGCTACAGAATGCAGAGAATGTGTCTTCGGAAGGCCTGAAAAGTTCCAACCATCTGAAAAAATATCTTCTGCTCTGGCGTGGTGCCAAGGACTGAGATGACTGAGCATTTGTGTCCAGCACAGCCAGCCCTCTGGAAAATGAAGAGACAAGGATAATACCAGCTAATTTTTATTTATTATTTTATTTTATATATTTATTTTTTAAAAATTGGGGGGTAATTATGTTTATTTCCTTTAATGGAGGTCCTGGGGATTGAACCCAGGACCTTGTGCATGCTAGGCACACACACTACCACTGAGCTATACCCTCCCCCCAACAGTAGCTAACTTTTGATCATGTCCAAAACACTTTATATTCACCCCCCCCAAAAGAACACCTCTCCCCATTTCCTCTCAGGTCCTAGGGCGCTAGTCTCCTCACTTCCTAGACCCTTCCTCCCAGGTCTCTCTCTTCTCCTCCCTTGTGGAGAATAAATTAGCTCTTGAAGAGTGTGGCGGAAACTGAATTCACTACCCAAAAGTTACTCATAACACTCCCCTCCCTACCTTCCTCTTCTATAGCAGCTGAAAGCTAAAAACTCAACTTCCAGGCTCCCTGGCAACCGAGGTGGCCATGTACCACATTTGGCCAACGAGACAGAAGCAGACATCTGCTGAGAAGGGCTTCTAGGAAAGTTTTTGCTTTCCAGAAAAAAAAGGCACAGAGTCAGCTAGACTATTCCTGTGCCCCACCCTCTTATTTCTGCCTGGTGTGTGGACAGCAGCCACCTTGTCCAGGAGGTGATAGGCCTGAAAGCAAAGGCCAAAATGCTATGGTTGGCAGAGCACGAAGATCGAAAGAGCCTAAGTCCCTCGTGGCATCACTGAGTCGCTGCACTGGCTATACCCTGCCAGCCTGTGGGCTTCTTGTCGTGTGAGAGGGCTGATTTAAACAAGATGACAGGGTTTTCAAACATCTGCAGCTGTAAGCATGCTGCAGGGCTTCCCCAAGGATCTGCTGGGCCAGGTTAGGATGAGGCAAGTGGTACAAATGCAGATTCAGATTCTCTTTCTTTAAAATTTAAATATTTTGTTTATCGTGGATTCTTTTTTTTGCATTAGTACTGATCTTTTAAAATAGTACTTATCTTGACTTCTGAGTTTTTTGGTGCCTCCTTCAGTTTTGTGCCCAAGGAGTGTGTCTCACTCACCTCCCCCCAAGTCCTGTCCCTGAATGAGTTAGGACAAAGCAGGAGATGTTAGGAGGTAAAGGAGGTGAGCTGAAGTGGTTTACCTTGCAGCACAGGTCAAAGGAGAGCTCCAGGTCAGGAACAGAATTGGGTTTCTTGAGGCAAACTTGTGTTTTCAGACTGAACTGTCTGGATGGTTGCTCCTGTTTTCCCTTATTTGGCTAGAAAGGTCTAAAAACTGTCTTCCAAGGCCTTTAACTAAAGTGTTTTGAAAGAAACCGAAACCTATATTTGCCTCACAAAAATGAAGTAAAAACAAACAAAACCCAACAACTTGACAAGAAAAAAAATCCCATTTAAAAATGGACCAAGGACTTGGATATTTCTCCAAAGATATACAAACAGCCACCAAGCGTATGAAAAGATGCTCAGCATCACTAATCATTAGGGAAATGCAAGTCAAAACTGCAATGAGATGTCACCTCACACCCATCAGGATGGCTACTATCAAGAAAACAGAAAATAGCAAGTATTGGCAAGGAGCTGTTCATGGGAATGTAAAATGGTGCAGCTGCTGTGGAAAACAGGATGGTATTTCTTCAAAAAAAAAAAATTTAGATTTACCACATGATCTAACAATACCATTTCTGGGTATAAATCCAAAAGAATTAAAAGCAGGTGTCTCAAAGAGATTTGTACACTCACATTCATGGCAGCATTATTCACTAATAGCCAAAAGGTAGAAGCAACCTAGTATCCACCAACAGATGAATGGAGCAACAAAATGTGACACACACACACACACACACACACACACACACACACACACACACACATACAATGGAATTCAGCCTTAAGAAGAAAGGAAATTCTGACACATGCGACATGGATGAACCTGAGGACATTATGCTGAGTGAAATAAGCCAGTCACAGAGTAATGAACACTGTATGACTTCCCTTATATGAGGTATCAAGAGTGGTCAAACTCAGAGTAACAGAGAGCAGAGCTGTGGTTACTAGGGACCGAGGGAGGGCGAAAATGGGTGTTGCTGTTTAATGGGTATAGAGTTTCAGTTTTGCAAGATGAAAAAGTTCTGGAGATCGGCTGCACAACAGTGTGAGTATACTTACCACCACCCAACTGCACACTTACAAACTTTTAGGTTGTGTGTATTTCATCACAATTAGAAAAAAAACTTTTAGGAATAGGGGCTATAGGGATAGAATGGAAAAATATCATTTTTTCCTTATTAGTTTTTAGTATCAGAAGAAAAACTAATATAAACTAATACTACAGTTTTTTAAACCCTTTTAAAAAATCCAGTTTTTTCTGTTACCTCTCTGTGTCCTCTTCTAGATCCTCAGTTTCTTTGGTCCAGAGCATACTGCTGTCTTCTTTTTTACTGTTAGTTTCTTGTTCTTCTAAATAGCTTTGATCTAAAAACAATTGGAAGACTTTGCTAGAACAAACAAAAAAATTAAGAAAACCTGCTTTAAAATGAAGTGCGAAAAAATTAAGGTTAATCAGTGGACCCTGAAGTCTGCAATACACAAGCCCTCCTCTTCCCAGAAGAGCAGGGGGGCAGATGGCATTCCGCAGGGTGCCTCTGTCCACAGCAGCTGCTTCTGGGGTCTTGGGAGCTCTTTGCCAGGTGAAGCTGCAGGAAACCTGGCTTGTGCCAAGGCTCAAAAGAGAGAGAGAGGAGGCAGAGGAAAGAAAGGGAACATACCAGAGGAGGCAAGAGATCCTGAAAACAAACTGTAGAGATTTATGTGGGGGGACCACCCTGTTCCCACTTGTTAGATGTTTCCAGATGGGAGCCCCATGGAAGGAATTTGGGCGGGGAAGGGTGGTATCCTTTAATGTATGCCAGGCATTTTACATATGTGATCTCATTTCATACCACCAGTAGTCCTATGAAGGGAAGGAGACTCATATTTGTTAACTACCTACAATGTACCAGGCACTGTGCATGGACATCATTAGGTAGGAATTATCATCCCCATTTTACAGATTGGGACAACTGAGGCTCAGAGACATTAAACAGCTTGACATACCAAAGTAAATAATGGAGTCAGAATTGAGGTAAAGTTGTGCCTGACCTCAAGATCCACATTCCCCCAAATGTACCACCGTGCTGCCAAGGACAGTTACAGCAAACCCTGATGAAAAAGATCTAGAGATTTGGCTTACCACATGCAGTGATGTCCAGATGACTTGCTGTGTTCTCATCCACCACTGTGGATGAGGCCTCTTGCCACTTTAACTGCTCTGTCACAACATAAAGCAGAAAGCAACTTATTTCTTTACATGTCACACCATTCTCGAGGGCAGCAGTTCTCAAAGAGTGGTCCTCAGACCAGCAGCCTCAGTATAACCTAAGAACTTGTTACCTATGCAGATTCTCAGGCCTCATCTCAGACTTACTGAATCTGAAACTCTGGAAGTGGGGGTGTTTTAACAAGCCCTCCAGGTGATTCTGTTGACTGATGAAGTTTGGGAACCACTGCTTAAGGGCATCTCATCTAACACTAAAAATAAAAATGATAGGTAAAAATAATAAAAAAAAAAGTAAAAATAAAAATGATAGGTAATAAATGATAATAGGTAACACTTGCACAGCCCTAAGTGGCAGGGACTATTTCTAATTTGCATACATTGATTCAGGATTAATATTCACAATTAATCTTCACAACCCTATGAGACTGACCACATTATCGTTATTTCTGCTTAACAGATAAGGAAACTAAGGTAAAGAAAGATTAAGGAACTTGCCTAGAATCACATCTATTAAGAGGTGGAACTGGGATTTGGATTCAGGCAGTCTAGGTCTAAGGTTTATGCTCTTAATCTCTATTTCATATACTTTCTCAAAAAGTTGGCAACATCAGAGTAGTCCAAATTTTCCCCTATCTCTAGTGGCCTAAATGTCACATTTTTCACCTGGTCTATGGAAAGACAGAAGGCAAAGAATACAATTTCCAGTTCCTACAGAACTGATCGCTAGACCAGGACAAGCATCTACTAAACTCAGTACACTGTTTTGCATGTGCTGGATGCTCTGTTTCCTCAAAGCGCTCCCGGAGCACAGCAGAGACAGCTGGGAGGCAGCACAGACAGGAAGCCTGGGCTCACAGGCACGACCCTGTTGTGTGCAGGCTCAGGTCTCGCCCTTCCAGCAGGTCAGGAAGCAAGTCCTACCTGTCAGCTCCTGGGCATCAAACGGCCTCATAAGATCATTTAATATAATTTGAAATTTAGTAGTCCCTTGCTGATCTTAAAAAAATCATCTGTATCTTATGGTTCTAAAGGACCCTCCTCCCCTTTAGGCCCTGGTCAGAAGCCTAGCCTAGAGCTTTGGATGGGTGCCCTTCCAAAGAGCGTGAGTCAGCTACAGGTCCCTCCCAGAGCTCTCCGGAGAGGAAACAACAGAGTGGTGATAAACAATAATCGGGTGGGCGCACCCCTTATTAGAAGAAACTACTCAGGTGCCCTCTGCCCTTTGTCTTTCCAGAAAATTACTGACTCATCTCAAAGCACAGGCATCACCTCGAAGCCTGGCCCAGATAATTCCCTTAAGTGCACTCAGGGAGGGTCTCTGCAGAGCACGCTGCAGTACAGCAGAGCTGTGACGCCGGAGCCCAGGTGGAGGCCTGGTGACAGCTGCTGAAATGGGGGGGTCCATGCGGTGACTGCAGAGACAGGAGAGCAGGATCCAGAGGAGAAGGCTCACTAAGGTTAAAGTGCAAAGGCGCCTCCAAGTACTGTGCTAAGCCACAGCCAGGAAACAGATGGCTCCGAGCATCTGCCGGGCAGGACATGAGCGGGCAGCGTCTGACCTCACAAGCAGCAGTTCTGTTACTGTATTAAGGAGAGAAACTGAAGAGGAGGGATTTGCAAGGGCTCCCTAGGGGCTCCAGGGGAGGAAAGCTGGTGTGGGGGTGGAGCCCTAAGAGCCTGACCTCACCACCCTGTGCCCTGTACAGCCCTGTGGCACTGGGGGAGGAGGCTGGCGAGGCAGGAAGGGCCTATGACTACAGAAAAAGAAGGAAACCAAGGAAGGTTCTGGCAACTCTGACTGGCTCCACCCAAGTTCATAAGGCTAACAGCTGGGGCTGGGGGCTGGGTGGCCTAGATGGTATCTGTTCGTCAAGTCAGACCTCTGGCCTCTGGGTTCGTCAAGGTAAGGCCTCTGGCACCTCTCCCTTCCTGGTGAGACACCCTGCAAACCAGGAGATGCCCCTCAGGAAATTCCCTAGCAGCCTCATAGCAAGAACTGGACGATCAAAGGTCTGATGAGATGCATCCTCTGAGGGCGCGGGGCTGGTCGGCCAGGCTGTCAAGAGAGCAGTCAGTCCTCCCTGGGGAAGCAAACCATGTGCCCCCAATGCTTCTATCACTACGCACCATTTACTTTCACCATCAGCTCAGCTGGGTGGAGCCAGCTCATCAGCTGCAACTAAAATTGAACAGGTATCCCTCAGTCTGCCTAAAATGGAAAACTCCGGTCTCACTGGGTCTTGTGCCACTGACTTCCCTGCCCTCAGGAAAGGGATTCATCCACAATGCCAATACCTTAATCTCCCGCTAATGGCAAACTAGAAAGTACAGGGCGCTTTGGCCCAAACTGCCAGACTTCAGTACGGCTAATCTGGTTCAAAAAGGACATAAGAATTCCTCTGATAAAAGAAGTTCATCATCACAAATATTTTGAATGTTATTTGCTCTTAGAATCATTACCGGACATTTTAAAGTAACAAAATGACCACAGACAGAGGCCCGCTATCCTGGCCAGGCTTCGGCAGTAATCTGAAGCTCATTTCAGTGGGAAACTGCCCCTTGCTGAATTTCGCGCATTTGATCAGATCTTCGTAGGGCCCTCTCTACTGGTGCTCACACCTGAGACAGAGACCATTATGTGGTCAACGTGAACCACAACCAGCCGGGCGGCCCCACAGAGTACATTCTGTGCTGAACATCCCTTACCGACTTCATCAAGCAGCTCCTGAGATGGTGGTGGTAGCTCATCAATGTTATGTTGAGAGATGGCTTCTACTGGTTCGAAAAAAGATGAAGGGGAAAGTGATTAATGCCTCCCTCGACCTGAACTAGATTTTCTGGGTTTCCACGTGGATTTGACTTAGCATTTCTCAATGACGAAACAAGCTACGACAGGGAGAAAGCCTCTTTACATTAACAGTCCTAGCTGAGGCCTCATACGTGAATAGCTTTTCTCTCCCTTTTACTCCAAACCCTTTCTTTCATCATGTTTTGCCCCGGTACCACCTGGTCTGTGCCCGTCCCCAAGGATATCTGGGGTAGGTGAGGTACAAATTCTTTCTAAGAGGCTGGGGGTTCAATCTGGAGCAAAGCTGCTGAAGCTCTGGACTTGTCAAAATGAACAAAACACAAAGTAAGAGGCCCTTCTCTATAAATGTTCAGGCCAGGGGATATAGGAGACCACACTTTGGGCCTTCACCTAAGGTCTCAATTACAACATTAAACAAAACTTCGCAGTGTAGTTCGTAAAACACCTATCCCCCTGAGGGAAATTCTAAGAATTGTACCAAAGACACAAGATGGTAAGATTAATGGAGCAAATGCCTCAAGAGCAGTTAACGCTCTCATACCCTTTGATTTGGAAGTTGTCTTCTAAAACTCTAAGAAAAGGATCAGAGGTTCAATTACAGATTTTTGTACAAAGAGCAAAAATTGGAAAACAACATAAATCTTCCATATAAGGGCATGGTTAAACAACACATGTAGAATGGACCATTATGCAGCCATCACATATATTTATGAATAATTTTTACTGACAAGTCGGAAATCCTAAAATACATCATCAAAGAAAAAAAGCAGGCCAGAGCTCACACACTATATGATCTCAACTATGCTAAAAATACATACATATTTTTGTATATTTCTAAAAATATAAAAAAAGATATGCACCAAAATTGTACAAGAGGTTAAAAAAATGGTGGTAGAATGGTGGTTTTTAAGCTCTTCTTTATTCTCTAGGTTTTCTATAATAAGTATGTTTTACTTTTATAATTGGGGAAAACAGCATTTTTGTTTGAATCCACTATAGCATCAAAGATGAGATGAAGGCGTCCTTAAATTATGATCTTGTGTTTTAATATTAAACACAGGGTACCTTTCGGCAGGCTCCTTTTCTGAGTAGCAGGGGATGATGTGTCAGGCGCCTTAGCGATGCTAGAGGAACCAGCCCCAGGGAATGCAGGCAATCTTCTCTACAAGATACAAACATGGTAACTGACACATGTATTGAGCTAAAAAAGACCCACGAAGCTCAATCATTTGTGTGTCACTGAAGGAAGAAATCACTTGTTTTGTTGATCAAAGCATACTCATTCAAATGTTACCTCCTTCTTGGAAGCCTTCCCAGCACTCAGTGCTAAGCTCTGTGTAACATCACGCCAGTCTTTCTCACTAGCTGGTGAACTCCTATGGGGCGGGGACTTTCTTACTCACATTCGGATGCCTAGAAGAGGGCTGGCAAAGTGCCTGGCACTTGGAACCTACCTCATTAACAGTTTGTTGAAGGAGAGCATAAAATTTTTTCCTTCCCTACTTCAGAGTGAGACCTTTTGTAAGTCAAGTTCCCAAAGAAGATGACAGTCAATTTTTCCCTGAGGGCCAAAGCAAGTAATCAATCTGCCTACAGGATGGTCAGTCAACAGGTTTTTAATGAGCAGTACCAAGTAAGGATCTGGTAGTTTTCTTGTAGAGACTACACATATGAAATATGAGGGAGAGAGAAGGGAAAAAAAAAACAAATAAACAGCAGGGGGAGGGGGAGGAGGCAAGGAGAAGGTAGGATCCTATTAAGTGTTTCTACTGCAGACTATTGGTTCACAAGTTCAGAGAAGACAGAGATCAATGAAAACCCTCAGAGAACTAACCAGAGGAGGCTTCAAGGGGGACAGAGGACTCAAGCCTCCTCTTAACAGGTAAGATGTGGTTAGGTAGAAAGGATAATGCAAGGGGACGGGGGCCAGGGTAGGGTATAGCTCAAATGGTAGAGCACATGCTTAGCATATGCGCACGAGGTCCTGGGTTCAATCCCCAGCACCTCCACTGAAAAAGTAAATAAAAAACAATCCTAATTACCTACCTCCTGCCAAAAAAAAAATAATAATGCAGATGAAAGTACCATCATAAGCTATGGCAGAGGCTGGCTCTTTACAGGACTCACCAAGCATCTCTGGGGCTTAATCAAAAGGATGGGGGTCATAAAAACTGAGGATTCAGGATCCATTCTATGATACAAACTCAGAGAAGAGCCCCAGGGAAGCCTGGAGAGGATTCAGCTTACTTCTTGCTTTCTTTGTAAAATGTATCTGGAGAAACCTTGGCCTTTAGGATCACTGAGGCCTTTGGACTCGTACTCATTGAGGACGAGCGTGCAACAGAGTTGCTATACTTACGAGATTAGTGAGTCTTGAAGGTGGAGTTGCAGAGGAAGTAAGAAGGGAATCTAGGCGCTTTGCTCTCTCTCGGACAGTTACAAATTTATCAGACAAAGTTTGAATAAATTCTTGACGGTTCCAGCATGAGGTAGACCCTGTTTTAACCTGAACTGTGATACTTTCCAGGCAGTCTTTATATTGACTAGCAGCTGAAGAAACTGACCCTGTTGTAGAAACAAGGACAGTTAGTGTTTGAATACTTTACATTATTTAAAAACAACAAGAAGAAAAAAAACCCCATAAAACTCTACCTATAACAGGATGTTCCAAATTGCTAATAACTGAAATAATCATTGACCTGAGACACAGCTCCTCAAGGCATAAACTTGGCCATCAGAATAAAGGGAGAGTATTTGAACCACAAATACTCCAGAAATAAGGATACTGGAGAGCAGGTATTTGATGCTGGCCACATGCACTTGCAGGACTCAGAACTTTGTATGTTTAAGTACAAGTTATTGTCTTAAGTTACAAACTCTAGAGAATCCCATTTAAGCACTAATTCAACAGTGCTTAGAGGACAAAGTAGGCTCTTTATTTGCATGTCTCCACTGCTAGGGTAAAAAAAAATCTCCTTATAGCTGCTTATAAACCACCACCACCACTACCTGGTCTCACATGGGATTATCCCCTTCAGCTCCAGCCCTAAAGAAACCTCTCTGCACTGTGAGAAAACACAGTAGGAGGTCTGTTCCCACAGTCTGGCTTCCCACAGCCAATGAAGCAAGGGCTGTCAGTTCCTCTCCCGGAACATCTCTCCTCCCTGCGGGTGATTACCTGGGCTGAGCGGCGTGCTGACGCTAGTAGGCGCATGGTTTATTTTGGGTGTTTTGCATGAGACTTCCTTAAAAGAACCGTCTTGTTCATAGGAGATACTAGACAGGTCCTGAATATCTGTCAATGATCTAAAAAATCAAGAGCACACAGTAATTGAGAGATGTTTAAAAAAATTAAACACTATATTCCTAAGAGGTACTTTTTAAGGATGCTCTTGACAAAAATCTTTATTTGGCAAGAGGCCAAAATTATCTTAGAATCTTAGAGACTATCTTAGAATATGCATAAGGTATCTATAAGATATTTAAGATATCTTAAAGAGAATACTGCAGGGTATCTTAAAAAGAGATACTAACTTTATACCTATCTCAGCAGCTAAAAATAAATTCCATAGGTGACAGTGCATTTATGTGGAAAACAGATTTAATCTACCTCAAGTATAAACTTATTATTATCACTGTATTCCCTTGACTGTAAAATGCTATTAGTTTAGATCACATCATCAGAACAGCTTTTTGGTGAAAGAAGTAACAGGCTCACATTAAATGTACACATAAAAATGGGAAGAATGCCAATTCGTTCAAACAAGGAAATACTATTTCCCTAAAACCAAGGCTTTGCACAGAATTTGCAGGCAACCCTCTGGTGGCCATACATGTCTTTCTCTTTCATTTCCTTTGGTGACTCCTTTAGTGTCTCCTCTTGTTCGCCTTCAGTGCTGTAAGAGAGAAAACGAGAAAATGCTATGAATCCCCTGTCAGCAGAGTGCACCAACATGGAACAAGGGACCAGTTGATTGGCCCAGTGGGAGAAGCAGTGGGAAAGGCACGGAGCTGAGAAGTAGGAAGTGAGGGCTCTGGTCCTGCAGCTGCCACTGACTAGTCACATGTTCTCAGGCGTGTCTGGGCCTCAGTTTCCTCTCCAGAGACTGAGTAAATACTTTCCAAAGGTCAGTCTGTCTGAAATCAGACAGTCTAATATCTGATGTCTAATGATGCTACTGGCTAAGCAAGCTTCTGAGGAAATCAATGAAACCCAGGAACTTTGCTGGGGATAGAGGCTGGAGCAAACAGCACAGCCCTGGGGCTTTACCAACTGTGAGACTGCTTCCTGGAGGCCAAGAGAGGCTTGTGCCAAAAAAATGGCCAGAAAAGTATACTGAAGACAAACCTGACCTGTTTCTACTTTAACCAATATTTAAGATTCAATTTCAATATTCAAACACAAACTATAAGCCTGATTCCACCCTAAATCCTTCCAAATGTTTTTACATTCTTAATTTTTGCAGCAATCCTGTAGACCAATGGTGCAAAGGAAAGAGCAAAGATTTTGGATTAAGTTGTGATTATTAATTCTGTTCACAAAACATTTGTTTTTCTTTCTGAGCACAAAGTAGGACAGTACTTTTTGGCCCTCCTGATTTATACAAATGGCCATGTGACTTGTTTTAACCAGTGAAATGTAAGTGAAAGTGATGTGATTCACTTTGGGGCAGAAACTTTAAAAGCCCAGTGCACAATTCACCAAGCTCCCTTCTTTCTGCTTCAGCAAGAAAGGAAGCACAAAGACGTAGTCTCTCTTAGCCTAGACTTCTGATAGAAGGTAATATAGCACAGAACACTCCTGGACAACCCATTATGGACCTGAAGCATAAGCACAAAATAATTTCTTGTTGTTTTAAGCCACTAATATCTGGGGGTTGTTTGTTACATAGCATAATCTAGCCTATCCTGACTGATATAACTACTTACTAACTGTGCAAACTTAGAAAAAATACTTTAAACTCTCTGAACGTTGCTTTCTTTATTGGCAGAATCAGAGGGTTGTTATTTCAATTAAATTTGACAAAACAGAGAATCTGGCATAGGGTAGCTACTGAAGAAATTCTAGTTATCATTATTACAGGTAAGGAAACTGAGGTCCAGAAAGGAGGAAAGTAAACTGAATGTTACTATACCAGGCACTCAGCATCTATTATTAGTTTTTTAGTTAAACTTTTTATTTTGAGATAATTGCATGTATACTCACATGTAGTTTTAAGAAACACTCTTTACCCAGTTTTCCCCAATTTCCTAACATATTGCAAGTCTATAAACAACACCAGAACCAAGATATCAACATTAACATGGTCAAGATACAGACCATTTCCACCACAAGGACCCATCATGTTGCCCTTTCATAGCTATGTTTATTTCCCTCCTACTCCCACCTCTCCCTTAACCCCGAGAAACCACTCATTTGTTCTTTATTTCTATAATTTTATCATTTCAAGAAAGTTTCATATAAGCAGAATCATATAGTAAATAACTCTTGGGGGTTGATTTTCCCACTCAGCATAATTCTCTCGAGATTTAACCTGGTTGTTGCACGTATCAACAGTTCATTCTTTTTTTTTGCTGAGGAGTATTCCGTGGTATGGACATACCACAGTCTGTTAAATCCTTCACTTGTTAGATAACATCTGGGTTTCCAGATTTCGGGTATTATGAATCAAGCTGCTATAAACATTCATATATGTGCTTTTGTGTAAATGTAATTCTTCATTTCTCTTGGATAAATGCCCAGGAATCATATTATTACTTTTAACCTCTATGTCAACATTCCCAGAGAGGATTCTTATCACTATTTTACAAATGGGGAGCTAGACGAGAGGGGTTGAGAAATCTGACTAAGGCCACACAGTTAGAAAGGCAGAGTCAGGATCTAAATACAGATAATGGCTCCTTTTCATAACCCCTCATGATTCTGCTGAACAAGTCCTAATGCAGCTAAGCTGCCCAAAGTTTATCATTGTAACATGATGGCTATTACATTCGAAGACAAGCAATATATAAATACGGGGCATTACTATCATTTAACAATACTTCCATGAATCTGAAATTGTGAATAAAATAATAGCATATACCTTCGTATAGGTTGGAGTTGACACTTGGTCAAAATTTCAGCATTCTTTCCAAATCTTTTTCTCATTTGAAACTTTTCTTCATCTGGAAGAATTAAATAAATGCATTTTTAGTGAATTTTTCCAACGCAGAATATTACTGTCATTCCTTACAATTTTTTCTATTTCTGGTCCAGAATGAGATATAATCTGGATAATCAAAGTGCTTCCTAATTGGGTTTGGACTGAGTATTGTGGAAGAGGTTTTTGCTCTGAAAGTTTATTTTTCTTTCTCAGAGGAGAGAAGTGTATTCTGACACTCAGAATACAATCAAGCCATTTACTGGCCTTTCAGTTATAACTGCACAGTTATTTCTGGAGACAAATGTTGTTTTTGTCTTTTCAGGAAGGCAAACTGACCTGGTTCCTGTCAACAAACACCAGGGGGCGTTGAAACCAAGAACTGTTTGTTCACTAAAGATTTCAAATAGAAAAGACTATTAGCTGGGCATTCCCAGAATGCTAACTGTGTCTCTTGGCCACCAAACACTACTTAACAGTGGGGGTGGGGTCTTGAGTACTAAGGAGCTAATTCAACTGTCTTCTGTTCTCATTGGCATCAAGCGTCTGAAGTTACTTCTCCCCAGTTCTCAGTAGGATATTTTGCAGGCCTCTGGGGCGCACAGGGCCAGTGTCCATTTTCCTTCCCGCCTTTATACTGCTCTGGTTTATAGAGAAGGAGACAGACAGACCAGCCTGCCCTGTTGACAAATGCTCATGATCCCCCTGCCATTCTCCAGGCCCGGAGGTAGTCTGGTGGGCAATGGGAGGCCCACCATAATAGTGCCACCTTCAGCAGAAGCCAAGATGCTTTGAAACCCCACCAGTGGAGAAGCACTGGGGTTCTTCTTGCAACCCTCTTTCAAATGCCTAGAGAGCATAAACACCTAGAAAGCACAAATGAATCCCTAATAAGCACAATTTAGAGCTGGAGGGAAACTTAGAGATTTTAAAGTCTGACTCTCTCCTTTGCTTTATACGAGGGGAAAGTATGGCCCTGGAGTGAAGTGACCTGCCCAAGGTCATGCAGAAAAAAAAAATCAGTGGCAGAACTGGGCTTGGAATCTAGCATGCATCTAACTTTCACCTCTTAGTACCTCCTGGGATGGAGAGGATATATGTCAGAGCACGAGAAGAGGGGAAGAGAAGGGCTGAAAGGAGGGAACAGTAGAAATCAGAGGCTTCTACGTGTACTTCAGATGTCTGTACCACACTAGTTCTGGTTTTCTGACCTACCTGCCCTATAACTTCTCTATTCTACTCAACCCTCTTCCAGATACAAGTGGAGTGGCCACGCACAGGCCAGGCTCACACAGAAGGTGATCCTGGGCAGAGACTCCACAGAAAGAACTGGGTGGCCAGAGACCCAGGTCTGGAAATTTTAACTGTTCATCCAAAAGCTTACCTATTATCCTGAGAATTTAACTGTTCATGTAAAAACTTACAGCCACTTAAAAAGCCTGAGGCCTGAATCAGGTTAGAGATGGACGCTGGAGTATGCAGCAGAAGGAAGGGAGCAGGTTTAGAACCCATGCCCGCCCTGCCTAGGCTGTTGAGACATGACCATGAACCAAGCTTCAGTAGGCTCAGTAGGTGGGTAAAACAGATGGCTGCATACCTTAAGAGCAAAAGTGCACAATTTTAAGTGTCTATATGAACACAGAAAACAAACTTATGGTTACCAGAGGGGACAGGGGTGGGAAGGGATAAATTGGGAGTTCAAGATTTGCAGATACTGATTGGTACATACAGAATAGATAAACAAGTTTATACTGTATAATAGCACAGGGAACTATATTCGATATCTTGCAGTAGCTCACAGTGAAAACGAATATGAAAACGAATATATGCATGTTCATGTATGACTGAAGCATTGTGCTGTACACCAGAAACTGACACAACATTGTAAACTGACTGTACTTCAATAAAAAAAGTAAAATAAATAAAGTGTCTATATCAGAACCTGTGGTTCACTTGTATCTTGTCTTGTACCACACCCGGGCTGCTGATCCAAGGTTAACTTCCCAGGTAACAGAAAGTGGTTGCTAAGTTTACAGAACCTAAGGTCCTCCGGTGGAAGGGTGTTATATTGACTGTACTACTGGCTATTAACTTTTTGCTAAGATGCCAAGCAAGCAGAAGAAGATGATGGTGAAACTCTGCCTTTTGGGGTAGAGAAGGACATGGAAACCTAGTTCTGGTTGTTCTTGGGTCAATGACTAGCTGTGTGGCCTGGGCAAATCGCTCAGACAGATCAGCAAAGATAACTGAAGACCTGCTATGTTCCACAGAAGAGCCTGAAATCTAGGGAAAGACTTCAGAGAAGCAACTGCTCCAGCGTGTGCTGTAAGAATGCAAGGGGTGTAAGTAAGGTGACATGTGGGTGTCAGGAGGCTAGTGAGGGAGGGGCAGGGGATTCATCCCAACGGGGAAAGCACTGAGCCTAGGTTTTCTCATCTATAAAATGATGGGACTGGAAGGTTATCTCTAAGGACTCTTCCAGCTCTATGTGTGATCTGATCCAAAGTGAAGACATGATTCTCAAAGGAATCTGCCCTGAGGACTTATTACCGGAAGCTTGAGGTTGGGCACAAGTATCCGGTGTTCCTTCAGAGTCTTCTTCAATGGGACTTGAGGTCTACAAAAGAATGAAAGAGCAAAGAAAGGAGGTTCACTGGACGCAGGCAGATCATCAAAAAGTCGAGGGAGAATTTCTTGATGTTCTCAAATCTTGAAAATTTTTGTAAGATCCCGGCATATTTTATAGAAAAAGAACAAACCTTCTTCACAGACATTAGGAACTTATTTGTACTGTAAGTTTCTGCTCAACAATAAGCCCCCCCACCTCCTATGGTGAGGGGGAACAGCTGACTTCTCTTCTCTATGGCATTACCTTCTCCTGCCCACAACCTTCCAACTAAGATGCTTTGACTCCTGGGAGCTTTATCAGGAAGGCCAAAGAAGGCTGGAAAAATGGCCTCACAAAGATGTGTGTACTTGTGTCTATGTTACACTTTTTATATACATGTACGTATTACATGAATATACATATGTAAATATGTATACTTTACATCTTTTGATTAAAGATTTTCTTAATGTCCCAGTACACAGTAAAATCAAGAATGTTTAAAGGATTACTCTGTGTTTTCATTTTTGTTTTTTTGCGGGGGGGTGGTAATTAGGTTTATTTATTTATTTTTTAATGGAGGTACTGGGAATTGAACCCAGGACCCTCATGCGTACTAAACACGGACTCTCCCACTGAGCTATACCCACCACCCACCACTGAGTTTTCAGAAGTGCAGATGAGGGAAAATTATGCTTTTTTATGCATCACTGAATTCTTCTTGTTAGTCAAATGTGACTGACACATACAGTCCTCTCTTTCCTCTACCCAACCTTCCATATTGGTAAAAAAAAAAAGCCTCAAAAGGTGGCAGGTTAAGGGGGAGGTGAGGTACAAAATTATATGAGTAAATAAGAGGATCTAATGAGTTTCATTTTAGAAACGAAAATACTCTGTACAAATAGGTTGTTGCAAAAGCTAGGCGGAGCCCAGAGAAAGCCGTGTATACTAGACAGCCTCACATCCACTGCCAAACCTGGTCCTCTGTTCCCGGTTCTCCCACCACTGAAGTTTGGCAGGCCAGGGCTAACTGCCGCTGCCAGTGACAGCCAGCTCTTCTTCACGCAGGCTGCCTTCTCTACCCCCCAGGGAAGGATGTGTGAATTAGATAACAAGAAGACAAGTGTTTTGGAAAAAAAAGTACAAAGTGCTGTACAAATGCAGAAACCACAGTTTTGGAAGAAAAAAACTTATAATCTTCATTACCCGAAAAATGGGACAATGGATATATGTATGTTCATGTATAACTGGAAAATTGTGCTCTACACTGGAATTTGACACATTGTAAAATGACTATAACTCAACAAAAAAAGGTAAAAAAATTTTTTTTAAATAAAAAGATAATTAAAAAAAAAATCTTCATTACCCGAAATCTTATTTTTCAGATTGTTTTTTTTTCAAACACATGAAAACACTGATAAGCTGACATTATATACTTTAATGTGTGACCTGTTTTTCTTAATAAAGATAATTTTAAAGGAATAAGACAACGGTGAAAGCTGAAAATATACTTCATCCTGAACTGTAATTTTTTACCTCTAGAGCCAAGTTTTCTTGAGCAGTTGCACAGTAAAAATATTCATAGTCTGGAGTCAAAAATTCATCCGTTACGTCTTCAGAAGACTCTGGTGAACAAGTTGATTGCCTGAACTGATCCTATGAATAACGCAGGAAATCACTTTTAAGTTGGTGTTCAGTGTAAACGAATCCCTGTATAGCTGGATGCAGCATTACTGATGGGTATCAGGGTGACACTGAGCTCTTCCCGTCTACTAGCACCTCTGCCTCTGCCCTCCTTCCCCACAGTGAGCTGTGAGCCCGCCCTGAGCAAGTGTGACGAAGGACAGTCCTCAATGTCAACATCCTAATCTGCACAATGCAAGTGCAGGGAGGCTGGGCGACCTTTTTGCTCTAAAATTCTCAGGAAGAAAGGCCCCAGACACCTCAAGCTAGGGACTGAATTTGAACACCCTGATCCTCAGGGCACAGACACAGGCTGTGTGTGGGAGCCGTCCTCCAGGCTGAGGCTGCTCGGGCCTGGGGACCCCCTCGGGTGTTCTACATTAAAGGCAAGTGAAGGAGCATGATGTTTTTAAATATCAGTGCAATCTCAATAATAAAAATAAAGTAAAATAATTTAAAGTAAGTTATTCCTTCAGCACCTCTGCTCTCTACACCTTATTTTCCTGCTGTTTCTCTACATTCAGGCCCTGATGACCACGTGGCCAGATATTGGCTTCTTTCCTCACCTTCAGTCATCCCTTTGCAGAGGTTCGTTTCTTTGGACATTGTTTTTGCCACAATCCCTCTTCTGTGCACTTAGCAGCTGCTTTCCTTTACCTCTCACATCAAATTGAAATTTCTCAGACAAGCCTGGCCCCCTCGCACTGTCCCCACTTCCCTGACAGACCTGCTTCCCTAGCCAAGCCAGTATGCCTCTTGTGGCACATCCGTCCAGCCCTAACGTGAGAGGAAGAATGAATTGTCCTGGGAGTGGTTTGTGTGCTGTGACTAAACACAACACTATGCTCTTCGAAAGACCTCAAATGTTATCACAATTGTATTTGTACACTGTTTCATTCTCAATTGCTATTTATAGTCCTTAAATGATTGTGGACCCATGTCAATGATGGTTAAAGAATTTTCGGTTCCTTACTCTGGCTGGACTATGGCCCAACTGCATGCTTGAAAAATGCAAGGCTGCAATCCCAATGCGAATGCTAAGAAATGACTGAGTCCCCGAGATCTTGCTGAAGCACGGTTTTCGGGCATGAACACATTGCCTCCACTGAGCTGAGAGCCGGATTTGGGTCTCAGACGACATTCCAGGCGAAGGTACTCTCATCACAACCCTGGCCTTGCTTTCCCTACTTCAACCTAACTTTAGTAACAAGCTTTGGAAGCTGACCTCACACGTGCTTTTAAGAGTGGGTCTTGGAAGGGAGGGTAGAGCTCAGCGGTAGAATGCGTGCTTAGCACGCACAGGGTCCTGCGTTCAATCCCTAGTACCTCCACTTAAATACATACATACATACATACATAAACAAACCTAATTACCTCCCCCTAAAACAAAACAAAAAAGCAAAACAATAAAAACAGGAGTTGGTCTTGTCTACCCCGCTAGACAGAAAGCTCAAGAACCAGAGCTGAATCTAACACTTGTCTGTGTTTTCTTCAAGCTCCAAGGTACACAATGCGTTGAGCTGAACTAATGCAAAAAGTATCAGGCACGGAGGAAAGACCTCTTCATTCATGTTAGAGACATGAGGGCACAACCTCCAAAAAAAAAAGCTCCTGTAGATATTATTTCAATGTCATATTACAGAACAACCCAGTTCTACTTTATTAGGTCCTCGGGCTCAAGCTGGTTCTCCAGGCTGTATTACTTACGCTGTAAGATTTCTCAATGACCACAGATGCATCAGAATTTGCTGGAAAGACTTTACTGTGCTCTGGCTGCTTATTTTTTCTGAGGGGCAGGTTGCTGATACCTAATGATTATAACAAAATCACTGTCAGTGATATTCAAATGGCACAGAAGGGGCAAAGGACAGTGTGGGAGAAGAGATGCATGCATATTCTGCCAAGGGTGACCATGTTTCATATGTCAGCTTCAGTCCAGAAAGTGGAGACTGTTAGTTTAGCCTGGCCCCAGCACGCAGCCTGGATCGTCCACCCTTTTGTCCACCCACTCAAGAGTGATCCTTGACAAGGAAGAGATTTTAAGCACAAAAAAAACCCCCAAGCTAATAGATTTTCTACCTAAGATAAACGATCTTTTAAATGTGCCTTTCTTTGACTTGCAAGCACCTGTGAAATGATATCCCAGGCCCTGACTGGAAGCAAATTACCAGGTGGAAATACACAGCCTTCAGTTTTAACCTGCAAGTCTCTTAAGTGATGACAGTAAATGGCATTTGCCTCTGGGTTCCTCTGCCACAGACTCTCTGAGAGCCAGTGGAATTTTTCTGGCTTAAAATGCAATGCAAAGAAATGGACAGTAGAGAATGGCCTTCCATCAATGCCCTCAGGTAAAAGGTGCAATTCCTTGCCAGGTGAGACCAAGCACCAGGCTCAGAGCATGGGGGTTATTTTACTTCCTTCGGACAAAGGAGTCTGCTCCAGTAATAGAAAAACTCATGAATCTCTGGATTTCTTTACCTGTGGGAAGGACCGTGGGATCAGACGGGCATGCTGCTTTCCTCTGGAAGTGAGGGTTCCCAGACAGGTAGGAAAGGAGAGAAGACCAACCAAAACAAAGGAAACATTCTGGGAAGTTCACTTGTTTTTGAGAGCTGGCAACTCGCTCAAGCTCACCTACCCCCTCACCTACCCCAATTCCTCCAACTGCTCTTACTAGTGAAACTTGGAGGCCCTGGCTGTCTGCCACGCTGGTCCCTGTTATGGTCACTGTCGTCTGTTATGTCACACTTCTCATTTCCTCCCGGCGCATCACTTTTCTTGGGATGCTGTACAGCTTGCTGCCAATCCACGTGCTCAGAGACCCGACTGGGGGGCTGCAGCAGGGGAGCAGGCTCATTTTCAGCCTCATTCTCTAAAGTCAAACTGTTCTGAGGACGCCAAGAAAGCACCGCCAGCTGCCCCGAAGCTGCTTTCTCTGCCATTTCTTTCACCTCCCCTGGATATAAGAGAAAGTGGCATTTAAAACAGCACAATCAACACTGGAAGCAAAAGCTTTCGATTCTTCGAGAGTCACGTAATGCTTTTACAGCTCATATTGTCACAATGGTTGCCTTTTTAGAACCAGCATCTTATCATCCTGAGCTTGCCCCATGTGGCTTGAAGCGGAGGAGAGGAGAGAATTAATGGCACAGCAAGGAAAGGGCAGAATTTCAGTTAGTTACAGACCTTTTTGCTGAATTTCAGAGTAGAAGGCAGCAGAAAACTTCTAGATGGACTTTCTTGCTGTGACGATTTTGTAAGAAAATGGCATCTGAAGCCCCTAGGCTGCAGCGGCTAATGGAATGAATTCTATTCGAGTGTATCTAGCCTTTCTAGACCACGATGAGCTCATAATTTGGGAGTGTACATATGAATGTACGTGTGTGTTTTCATTTAAATTTTCAATACTTTCGCAATATCACTTAGCATTAGTATTAAAAAACTCAGACACTGTATCCTTTTAAGATTACAAGACAAAACTGACACAAAAGGATACTGCCCACAGGATATGTGAAAGTGACAGGGCAAGCTCTCTACTTTCATAGTTATATGTTAAATATGTATATTGTGAGATTACCTATTTTTACTACATTTGTCACGTAACATTCATTTATATAGAGAGGAAGCAGAAACATTTCCTATATAGTCTAGAAATGGAAAAAGCACTTCTGCAGTTTGTAATCAGAAAGGTCGTGCTTTTAAAATGGAATGATCTAACAGAAGAAGAGTATGTAAGATGACGCTGCAGTACAGGCTGTGTACTGAGAGGTAACAACCAGGTGAGAAAAATACTTTAAATTTCATTTTGTCCAATAGAACCCATGACTTAATACTCACTTTTCCATTTTAAGTGTGTCTCTCCATCATCTTCACTATTTCTTGACTTTGCGTTAAAGATTTCTGAAGACACTGATTCCATACTGATCCTGAATTGCATAGATTTTGTGGGGGAGCGAGTGGACACAAACACATCAGTTTGCTCAAGTTCTTGACAAAACCCCAAGCCCATCAATTCCCCTAGAGGACTGTCCCCTATTCTCAGAGCTGTTCCTGGGGTTGCCCTGACTCCTACCCACCACCAGAGGGCAGCAGGCTCCCCAGTGTTCAGCCTGCAAGGCTCTACCGGGTAGAGCCCCAGCCAGGGCTGGATGATGAGGGTGATCCTTGTGGGTGGCTTGGCATGGTGAGGAGTGCACTACTGAGCTGTGTCATTTTGGTTCGGGCACTGGACTCTCTAAGCCTTCCTTGGCTAAGAAACGAAAGGACTGGGTTAAAAGGTCTCGAGGTAGAAGACCCACAATTGAAACATAGTTTCACCAGACTCCTGGTCCTTGGGCTGTAGCAGAACCCTCCCACAATGACACAGAACATAGGTGATGGTTCAGTAACTGTTCCTGCCCTTTGATCAGAATTCTCTGGTGACAGAGCCACCTGCATATCAGTGATAGCATAATTGCTAACATTTGTAAAGATGGTCTTAAGGCACAAGGGATTCTGAAGACTATTCAGAGATCTTCAGCCTAGTTTCATTGAGTTCTAGATCATGATTAGCCACTAGCTAGCTCTCTGACTTTGGCAAACTGCAATCTCTCTGAGCCAAGGTTTTCTCATGTGCAAACAAGGGAGTCTCTTTTTCCTCTAAATATCCCATTATATATTTTTTTAAATTTTATTTATATATATATAAATAAATATATATAAATATAAATTTTATATATATATATTTATTATATATATATTTATTTATATATATATATATAATCATCTATTAAACCAACTCTTTGAAAATGTGTGACCTGTGGCATATATGAATTTCCTTTTATTCAGAATATCCTACTCTCCTGCTGGACCAGAGTGCAGAGAGAGATGGTTGAGTCAGAAAATCACAAAGGATCAGCTTCTTTAAAGAGCAATTTGGCAACAGCTCTCAAGAATCTTTAAAAATATTCAAACCCTCTGACCGACTAACCCTGCTTCTGGGAATCTATCAAGGACATAACCCAAAATGCAGGAAAAAATTTACTGACAAATCACTGTAGACCTATTCATTAAAAAAAAAAGAATAAAACCACTTAAAATTCAACAATGGGGGAAATCCAACAATTTCAAAGTAAGTTTACAAGATGTTTTTAATAACAAGGGATAATGCTCATGTCTTAATGTAAAGTGAAAATTCAGGATATAAAATTTCCTACACATATATAATTACAATTTTTTGAAGCATACAAAAAGACTAGGTGGATTGGTAGAAAAGTCTTAAATTTTCCTTTGGTCTGTTTTTTGTTCTCTTGGGGGAAGAGGGTGGAGCTGGACAGGGGAGGCCACAACCATACTTTTGCTTTGTCATCCAGTGGCTACACTAGCACCCCATCTGCTTTTATCAATCATGTGAGGGCTAAACTCTCTGATGCCAGTTAGGTGATTCTTCAATGATTTCCCTCGTAAAGGTAAAACACACTAATCTAGAATGTCTGGACATTTTCCTTGATTCTCCATTAATGCACATATTTAACCAAACTGAAAGGAACAGCAAACTCTTGTCATTAGACTCAGTCACCGCTGGGGACAGGAACAAAATTTTTCTAGGAGAACTGACTTCAAAGCTATGTATTAATGCTGTCATTTAACCACAGAAGGAAACTAAACTGATATACTACTCTGTCTTGAAACAAACATTTACTGCTCCTTTAATAATTCCTCCAATGCAA